ATGATTATACCAAAGGAAGGCAAAGACCCAACGAACTGTGCCAGCTATCGGCCAATCTCACTCCTAAATGCGGATCTCAAACTTTTCACTAAAGCATTAGCGTTCAGGATTGCCAGGACACTCCCAGACCTCATTCACCCAGACCAGGTCAGATTCATCCCTGGAAGAGAAGCCCGAGATAATACCATACAGGCCCTCAACTCCATCCATGTAGCACGCGCCAACAAACGGACCATGGTGCTGCTCTCCATGGACGCCGAAAAGGCGTTTGATAGAGTAGACTGGACCTTCATGTTGGAGACCCTGAGACACATGGGATATGGGCCACACCTGCGGACCTGGGTGGCTGCGCTCTATACCACACCAACTGCACGCATACGGGTGAATGGAGCACTCACTAGCTTGTTTAATATCTGCAATGGCACGCGCCAGGGCTGCCCCCTGTCACCACTCCTGTTTGCCCTCACCCTGGAACCTTTCCTGGAGGCGGTCAGACAGGACGGGGGTATTACGGGGTGTCACGTGGGTGGGATTGAACACTGTGTGGCGGCGTATGCCGACGACGTGCTCTTTTTCCTGGAGCAACCAAGAATATCCATACCTAACCGACAATACAGCGAGGTTTTCAACCTGAAACTCAACCTGGATAAATCTGAGGTAATGCCACTCACGCGAGACGCAGCCCTCCAGGGACACATCCGTACGCACTTCCCCTTCAGGATATGCATGACCAAACTACATTACCTTGGGACATGGCTCCCGAACGATCTAGCACAAACCTACCACATGAATTTCACACCCCTACTCGCAAACTTGCAGCAAGACATAAAACGCTGGACATCCCAATATATATCATGGTTTGGCCGTATAAATGCCATTAAAATTAATGTTATGCCCCAAATACTTTACTTGTTCCAGACGCTACCGTTAAGCATCCTGCGGACGTTCTTTCAGTCACTAACGATAACCATCAGGCAGTTCGTGTGGAATCAGAAACCTGCACGCATACGGAAAACAATCCTGGAATGCCCAAGGAGCGAAGGAGGCATGGGACTGCCGTCAGTCATCACATACTACCAGGCTGCGCACCTGCACTGGCTGGTCGACTGGCACGCTGCCTCAAGCGAGAAGCAATGGGTAGATATGGAAAAACATCAAGCCCAGGGAGGTAAAATACCAGCCCTGTCATGGTTGGGGGAAGCAACGTTCCAGGAACTGCGAACAGGCAACCCGATGATAGACACCACGTTGAGGGTTTGGTGTAGCATACGATATTCCAAAAGGCTTACGTCATCGCCAAACCCGCTCACACCCGTAACCAATAACCCAAAATTAGCAGGGGGGCTCTCCCCGGCTGACCTAAAGAACATTGGGGTAGCGGACTGGGTCCACCTAAGCCAGTGGTGCAGCGGATCGGCACTCAAACCCCTGGCCGTGTTGCTACAAGACCGCAGACCAAGCTTACTTGATGAATTCCGCTACCACCAACTAAAAACCTACGATCACAGGCAAACACCACCTACATCGCCCACTGTTCCACCTAGAACAACTATGTGCGTCCAGACAGCACCTTACGCATGGAGTATCTAATTTATATTCCACACTACAGAGCAGCGGAGATAAGTGCCCCTTAGGCTTCACGGAACGTTGGGAAAGGGAGACAGGGGTCGAACTCTCGGAACTAGAATGGCAAAAAATCTTCCAACTGACACACAAAGGGACAATAAGCTCAAAGTTCCAAGAATGCAACTACAAAATATTGACCCACTGGTATAGAACCCCAGATATTCTCCGACACGTCCACAAGTCAATCTACGGCGAGTGCTGGAGGTGCGGCGCAGCAGAAGGCTCTGGTATCCACATCTGGTGGTCTTCCCCCCGCATTGAACTGTATTGGCGAATGATACACTAGACGATTAAGGACATCACTGGGACAGATATCCCCTTTCAACCACTGCCGCTACTGCTGAACCACACAAGCGCACCCGCGAAGGCCTATAAAAAGGGCCTCACCATACATCTACTCACAGCGGCAAAATCGCTCATTCCCACGCTGTGGAAAAGCCCGGTAACACCCACCCACCAACAATGGGTGGACAGAGTGGAATTGATTTTCAACATGGAAATGATGACTGCCTCCCTGCAGGGACACTCGGACAAATGTGCCCTAACCTGGAATATACAGCAAATGGACCCACAAGGGATGCCCAGACTGGGAGTGGGTGCTCCCCCGCACTGGCACAACCCCCCCCCCCGACTGACAGACGCATAGATACAGTAAGGACCAGATACGTAAGTCCCAACCCACACACACACAAACTGAATAACTCCCCCCCACCCCACTCCCCAGACCAAAGACGAACCGTGACGACATAACTCTCGTAGGCACCCAAGCCAAATTATACCACTACCTGGCACGTAGGACAGACAGAGAACAACATGGGAGGGAGGGCGAAGGACAGAGAGAGGCCAAGAATTCGCAAGGGAAACACACAGGCTGTGTATCAACAGACTTAAGAGGGAGAAAACGTGGTAACAATACCAGGAGACGTGACGAGCCTAAGGACAGGATGTCGGACATAATTTCCCCCTGAGGAAGCTACTTCCTCTATGCTCCCCAAGCTAGTCATTACCCAGAACCACCTAGAATAGACAGAACAAGCCACATGCAGGACTTAGGACACAACAAGTAGCACAGGACCTGTCTGAGACAACCAACACCTTTTGAGCTACGCACAACACGCTTCTTAGACAAAGACTCATACAACACAACACTCTAGTGGCGACAACCGAGGAACCACTGTGACCAAGCCAGACATCCGCTTGGACAGGTGACACTCCCTAGCTACTATGAAATCAGCATGCATCAACACATTAGGCACAAAAGTAGAATATCAACACTAGGGCATCCAGACACAACCCAGCTCGTAAGGCAAGCCAACAAGGGTAAGGCGGAAGGGACACCACACATCGCAGGCATACGATAGAAGCTACAAAAGAGACAGCTAAGCCAGAAGCTCCTGGCGGTAGCCCCCAGCGAAGCGCTGCCGTGCCGGTCCAGAACCGACTTATTCCCACCACGACAGTGGTAAAGCTGAATACGCACTAATGCTGAAAATTTAACGCTTCCATGTTAAGGGCTACACACCCAAATATGTTGAGAGTTGTATTGTCAAATGAACAAATAAATAAATAAAGAATGCCAAAAACAAAAGAAAGGGTAGAAGGGGAATAAATGTTCACCTATTGAACCCGGAAATTCGGACTACTCCACCATACTGGCCTGCCCGTGGGGTCGCATGACTCCGGACTGCTAATCTTTATTAAGTTATGTTTTCTCCTATTACTTAACACCCAGTGGTAGCACAACATTCATGAGTTCACTGTTTGACTAACATGTATTCCTTTGTATTGCAATCATCTTCCCAATATTGTGGCTTATATTTTTCTGGGCACTCTCTTTTGCTAAATCAACACTCCGTGCTTAAGACTAGCCTGTTTTCTTTAACCACAGTCCAGCTGTTTAGCACTGTATACATACACTTGATTTCATCCTTTTAATGTAAAATGAGACATTGCAACCTTACATGTGACAGGCTGTATTACTTATCATGCATCCGGTGTCTGATAACCATTACTACTCGCTGTGTATATTACCACTACCTAACGTCTAAGCTTTTCAGTTACAAATGTTTACACTTGTAATACTACTACATGCTTCAAAAAAATATGATTGACAAAAAAAAAATTGCAACAGACCCGGAGAAATTATAAGAATTAAATTTTAACATTTTGTTATATTTTAAACATCTACAATTCTGCAGACATAGAGCAATTTAGACGTTTCTTGGTGGGGAAGACTGAACATAGTAAGGAGTTATATTCTCCCTAAATTGACATATTTGTTCAGACTTATTCCTGTAGCCTTTTATCGATCCTGGTTGAGAGAGATTCAAAAGTCCTTAATAAAATATGTCTGGGGAGGAAAGAAATCTCAATTAGCTTCAAAATTGTAAGCAGAGATATAACTAAAGGCGGCTTGGGTTTTTCAGAAATAAAGAAATATCATGATGCAGCAATGTTGTGGCATCTGTTCAAATGGCTTAGAGTAGAAGACAGACAAGAAACATGGTATGAAATCGAAGCTAAGCTAAGCTTTCTGACCTAAAGGACCTTGATTTATTATTATCTTTAGGCTTTAATAAAAATGAAATAAATGTAATGAATAGTCTTTTTAGGATTTTGGAGAGAATGGAAAAAAAAGATGGATATTCCTTGTTTTGTTCTCCCTTTGTTCTCCATCGTTAAACTTTTTAGATGGAAATATTTCAGACTTGGGCATCAAAAGACGGGTTCAAATAGATATGTGTAGATATGGCCAACTATGGGAAGGTGACAAAGTTAAAGACTTCCCTCAACTCAGTTTTCTCTCCCTAGCAACGTACTGATTGAGAGGCGTCTTAATAAAATAAAGAATGCTATAGAAATAAAAAAAAAAAGATAAGTTAATTATTGGAAGGGGAAAGAGCAGTCAGAAAGCCTATTAGAAGCAATCTTAAAAACAATCAGACGACCATATAACAAAATCTAAGGCTTTAATAAGATGCTAAAGAAAGATAGGACATGGTATTAATGTAGATGAGTGATATAATATTATGTCGCATCTTAAAAAAAAACTATTCACCGTTTAAATCTTTTAGCATTACAATATAAAATAATGTATGGCATCTGATGCAAGAGAAAAAACAATAAGATGTACAGGAATTACCGTATATACTCGTGTATAAGTCGATCTCATGTATAAGTCGAGTGCAGTTTTGTGACCAACAATTGTGAAATATGCTATGCCTCGTGGATAAGTCGAGGGTAAAACTTGGGGCTATGAAATTCTGTGATTTTTATAATTATATACACACACACTCATACAAACAAACACTCTGCATTATATATACACACACTCATACAAACAATCTGCATTATATACACACACACACTCATACAAACACACACTCTGCATTATATACACACACTCTGTGTATATAATGCAGAGTGTGTATATAATGCAGAGTGTGTGTGTAGTGTGTGTGAACTAGGTGGGGGGAGGGCATTTTTTATTTTAATTTTATTTTTATATTATTTTTTTATTATTTTAAATTTTTTTTGTCCCCCCTCCCTGCTTGTTAACTGGTCAGGGAGGGGGGCTATCTTAATCCCTGGTGGTCCAGTGGCATGGGCTGTGAAGTGGGGGGGCCGGCAGGAAGCATTTACTTACCTTTCCTGCAGCTCCTATCAGCTCCCTTCTCCTCCGTTCCGGTCAGCTCCACTGTAAGTCTCGCGGTCTGGTTGCCGCGCGGATCGTTGCCATGGCTCTGACGGCTCTGGCTTTACATATTTTAAATACTAATTGCCCAGAGATGGAAAACCCAAGAAGTCTCAATATGGCACTTATTAAAAGAACAAATACATTTTCAACTTCAAATGGAAAGAGGATTAATATCAGGAAAAAATTATATTCTAGTAGAAGAAGCAGTTAGATAAAAGGTCTGGGTTAATTTCAATATCATATTAACATATAGATGGGCTATAATAAAACATTCTTGTTATACACTTCATCAAGTCTTGGCTGATTTTTGGGTATACCAGAGCTATAATCACTATTTCACCTCGGGACTCAGGAGATTTACAATGGATATACTTAGATATACTTAGTCGGAGTATAGGGGATCCGTTACAACTGTTTTTTTTTTTTATTCAGTTACAACTGTTTTTTTTTTTAAACTCAGTGTTGTTTAAATGTATCTTTTTCTTTACAGTTACTCCTCATACGCAAGAAATGTCTTTTTGGGATTTTGTCCAACCATGGATGATGGCAACTTTCAGTATTAATAAAACTGCTTGTGTTTTTGTGCAAATCTGATTATTTTTTTTTGTCAATCTTTATTTATAAATGTACATGATCAGTGAAAAAAAGTTGTATGTAATACCCCAACAGCATAAACCACATATTTACAGAGCTTAACATGTGGAGGCATAAACAGTCCTTGAACAAACTTTTTCATATAAAATTGCCACAACTGTCATCGTGCCTTCCGCATTTATTGTGTATGTGGTCCTGGTTAGGGTCGAACCTGGGTCTCCTGCATCCCAGCCATACACCTTATCCTTGGCTCCACGCATCTTTGGCTACTTCTGCTGGTTCCTGATATCTAGTAGCCTGAACCTGTATGCCTGGACTTTACTCACCTGTTCCTGATGTCTGCTGATTTCAACCTATATAAACCCCGCCTTGGCTATTGATCCTTGTCAAATTGTTTGAACCTGTTGGTTCTTGTTTGGCTATTCATCTTATCTTCTGCTTGCCCTTCGTTCTTGCCTGCCTGCTGCCTGTCCTGACCCTTGGTTCCGTCCCTGACTACGTTTATTGGATATCCCTTGTCTGTACCTCGTTCTTGGAAGCACTGGTGATTATCAGCCCCAGTGCACTGGTTCACAGCCTCGGGGATTTCTACCTTGAGTCCCCTTGGTCTGTGTATAATTGCAAAGGGTGCTTTTTAACTCTGCGTATTGACTCCACTCTCAAGGTAAGATCCTTACAAAAATAAAACAAGAGAATACACTACTTAGGTGGCAAACTTGCTTAGCAAAATGCGTAGGTGTCAGTTGCAGTTAAAGCGAGTGTCATACAACATTAGGTGTACTGACAATAGTGTGCTCACAGCACTTGATAAAGTAAGTTGTTAACAATGTAGTTAAAGGTACAAGGAGTGGGTGTCTGTGATACCTGCCTTCTAGGTAGTAGTGGTCAATGTATTATTATTATGTAATGTTCAGCAGCATCCTGCAGAGGTCGGAACCCATCTGCCTGCAAAACATGAGGAGGAAACACCTAATTAATTGGGTGGGGGATATGGTTATGCCATTTATCTAAAACAGTAGTCCTAAGTGGAGAGTGGGAGTCAGATCTGTAATAGGAGGATAGTGAATGTAAAGGCTTATGGCCTATCACCATAAGTGGTAGGAGAAGTATAAAAATAACTCGGTACTCCAACCGAGTACCTCCACCCAGTCCACTTCCTAGCCGCTTGCAGGGACCCTGAAAGGCTTCAGCCCCAGTCGCCGAAGCCTGACTGGGGTCTCTCCGGAGCTCTACTTCCAGGCAGGTATGGTCCCCTCTGCCTATTCCACTGCAGCCCTTCTTCAGGCAGGTATCACCCCCTCTGTCTATTCCTCTGCAGCTCTACTTACAGTGATTGCTATTGCCTTGAAAGGCACTTGTGCCTCTCTGGCCTAGCTGTCTTTCTTTATCCCAGGGCTTTAGGGATCATGCAGCCAGCCAACAGGTCTGAAGACTCTGTCACTGGGATTCCTAAAAATCTACACAGGACACCCAGTTCCAAATGGAACTACCATACAATACTTTATTTTACTTGGGACAAGCACATATTTTCATTACAGTTGCCATGACAAACTTAATAAAATACAAACAACCAAAACATATCAGACAACATACATCAACTTCTTATTACACAATGACATAAAAAGGTTTGTGTAAGACAATATTTAACACAAAATAGCTCTCCTTCCTGCAGAATTAGGAATATGCAAATCTACCCAAATATGCAAATTAACAAGCCTTGCTATTTAGGTAGAGCATATTGCTGTTGCTACCAACAGGTGGTGCTCTACAGGCTCCACAGCCAAATCCATCTACTTTGTATAAAGCATTAGCAGGACAGGATTGCACACAAAACATATAACAGTAAAACAACAATAATGGGTACAGGTTGACTTAGACATAGGCGTAGACCAGGATCCTAAATAAAATGTCCGTATGAAATTCCAGGCGATGATGACTACCGTCAAAATTCCCCCATTCTGAAGGGTGTTATCCAGGAGACATGCCAAGAATGTTGTGAGATCATTGGTAATGTTGGCTCTGGTAGGCCCAGTGTCCACAGGAATGTCTGACCATTTGAGAGTCCCATTGCTTTGTGTGATTTGCTGTGATGTGTGACACTGAGAGATGTGGGGTAAATCCATATGTACCATATATCAGCATGCTGTAGTGTGATGTGATGGGTTGCAACAATTTTCTCCACATCATGACCAGAATTGTAGTAGAGTATTCCCCTTTAAGGCTTAGAGAAGCCTCATTTTATCCGCCAGAGATGTGCAACAGTGTATGATGTCTCTAGGGGCAGCCACTGGTGTTCGAGAGGATTTGGAGATTCGGTATAGTCCATATATTGTGAATTCACACTAATAAAACACACTGAAATAAAGGCAATGGAATCGTGCTGCTACAATCACCAGTGTTGGTTACCCACACAACACAGATAAATAGTGAAACAACAAAATAGTTAGGTGAGAGCGGGCACACAAGAAGAATAAAATACTACCACTTTAAACCAAAGATGGTAAATGGCTTGGGTCAATATTCTGCAATAAAACATAGAATACAATTCATAGCGTAATATGTTAATAAACTATTGCAGTACTGAATATAAGTTGGTTCAACTCACATATTGCTGAGCCTCTATATAGCAGGCTCAGACTTTCAGGCTCATCAATGAGTATTACTGGATCTCGGATCTGCTTCCTCCCAAAGAGTGATTTCCAAGCTCTTGTCAATGGAAAAATGCTATAAAAACCGGTGTATGGGTGAAGCGCTATATACAAATGGATTACCAAAGTGGAGAGATAATGCCCCGTGATAAACACCAGAATACTGAAAAAATACCTTCTGTTTATATAGTTCACAATAATCCTTTATAGGAATTTCCTAAAAACATAAACAGAAAAATACAAACATAGTGCAAATCTGTAATAATGAGAGGTGTGGTAGAAATATACAAAGGTCCCACTCACACTTTTAGGAGCTAAAAGGGTATAGCTCAATAGAAGCACTTTCAGAGTCCGTAGAGGCGACTCTTATCCCTTCTTTTAACTCTTCCTTTCTTGTATTCTGGAATGTATAAAGGAAAATACCTCTGGTGCAATAACGTAGGCTAGGTGTATATATAATAGTAAGGGAAATAGGGTACTTACAAACCCAGAGCCATTCACATCGGCTCTGATCCAATAGCTTATGTGGATTAAGGACCACACTCCTTCTTTGTGAATAGCAGGAAAATGCCAATAGTGTATCTCAAAAATATAAACTTTATTGACTATATATACAATATAAGTACAATATAAATATAAAATATATATATATATATATATATATATATATATATATACAAAAAACACTATAATGGCATAAAAAGTCCAGTAAATCAAAAGTCTTATAGCTCACAAAATTCCCAGGACGCGTTTCGCCGTGAAGGCTTCCTCAGCTGGATGTGAAAAAGTCTGTTACCTTCTTGTGCTGGTTCCTGCTATATGTACCCCTCCTGGGGTGAAGATGCTTGCTTTTCGGCTTGAATTTTCGCAGGCTATCACCATGGAAATGGTGACGCCCAGCGTGTCTAGCCTCTTTCCTTCTCCATTTCTGGGTTCCGCTGTCGGTTCGCCACTTCCGGTTTTTTCGATCGCAAGCCGTCGCGTCATATCCGTGCGTTCCAGCTTGCGTTCCAGCTGCGTTCCGGCTTGCGGTTCAACTTTCCTTTGTTATATTACGCCGGCATCATCGCAGGCAGAAAGGAGGAGAACAAAACATTTATACATATTCATTAAATTCTACAAGTCTTCACCAAAACTTTTTTGATTATTTCTTTTCACCTGTGTGTAATTTCAGTAAAAGAATCATATGTATATATATCTTTCATGTAATACAAGTGTATAGCCTTATTTGCTCTTTGCTATTAAGGCAATTAAAAAATAGTAACTTTATACATATTTTCCACTTAAGATCGATTAAAATAATAAACCTTATCCTTATCACATATTAAAACAAGAAAAATAAAAACACTTATGCAAAAAATAACCCCTAAGAATAGGTAAAACCATATACAGTAAAAAATATATGAAAATTTATATATACACAGGGAATAAAAATCCACTGGGAGAAAATATAAAAATCCACTAGAAAAAGTATAAAAATAAAACTATAAAGAGACTGAAGACCTAAAACAACCTATTTCAAAAAATGACACATTTCGAAATCTGCATTTTATCCATTAGGAATCAGAGTGTCTAGTTAAAAAATCCACTCCATTTCACATTTACTCATTTTTACATCAAAATTGCCTCCTCTCCAATCTTTTCCCACTTTTTTATCCCTAAAAAGATGGTATCTTTAGTTTCACAATTATGATAATTTTTATAATGTAAGGATACACTATGTTTTTCAAAACCCTTTGTGATGTTCCGTCCATGCTCTTCTATTCTCGTATGAAGTTGTCTTGTGGTTTTCCCTATATACTTTAGGCCACAAGGGCATATAATTAAATAAATAAGATTCTTAGAATAGCACGTAATAAAGTCTTTAATTTGATATTCTATTCCCTCTTTGTTTGCATATGTTGTTATATGTCTTTTCTTATTAGTAGTTCTCCTACATGCCAAACATTGGCCACAGCCATAAAAACCTTTCTCTGTATTAAATGGGTTAGCATTTTTCTTTTCTTTTATGAAACTAGACGTAAGAGCAGTACGGAGGTTGCTGACCCCCCTATGTACAAAATGAGGTTTCTCTGGAAGGAAGGTTTTCACTACTGGATCCTGAAGAAGAATAGGCCAAAATCTTGAAACTATTTTCCTCACCTTGTGATTTTCCGTACTAAAATTACAAATTAATGGAACTTCTTTAAAACCTTTCTCTTTCTTTTCTTTATATTTTAAAAGGCTATTTCTTTCTATTTCTTTAACTTCTTTTCTAGCTTTTTCCAGTTCATGTTCATCATAACCTTTCTCTATAAAATCTTGTTTGATTCTATCTGATTGCATATCGAACATCTTAAGATCAGTGCAATTACGGTGTATTCTGAGGAATTGCCCTCTAGGGGCATTCTCCAACCAAGGAGAAAAGTGGCAGCTTTCTCTTTCGATATAGCTGTTAGCCTCAACAGGTTTAAAATAATTTTTCGTTTTGATCATATTTTCCTCTATATATATTAGTAGGTCTAAAAATATTACTTCCACTTTGCTCTAATTGCTGGTAAGTTTAATCCCCCATATGTTGGTGTTGAGGTGATTTAAAAATTGGATTAGGTCTTCCTCCTCTCCCTCCCAGATGAAGAAGATATCATCAATGTAACAGCCATAGGTAACCAAGCTTTTCCCCCAGCCATGTGGGCCATAAATATAAGTATCTTCCCAATAAGCCATGAATAAATTAGCATAGCTGGGGGCAAACTTGGTCCCCATGGCCGTCCCATTGATTTGGAGGTAGAACTCTTCATTGTACCAAAAATAATTATTCCTAAGAATTAATTCTATAGCCTCTAAGAGGTACTCAACCTTCATACAAGGTAGTTTAGAAAAATTATTTAAAAAGAATTTAGCTGCATTACATCCATAGTCATGCGGAATATTACTATACAGAGCTGAAACGTCGCTAGTGACTAAAAAGCAATAAGGGTTCTAAGTACAACTTTTTAAAAGATTTAAAACCATGATTGTGTCTTTAATATAAGAGGTAGTATTTTTGACTAAAGGTTGGAGATGGATGTCCACGTAGTGGGATAGTTTGCTTGATATGGAATCTATTCCCGCTACTATAGGTCTACCTGGAGGGTTCTTTGTGTCTTTATGAACTTTCGGGAGGAAATAGAACACAGGAGTTTTAGGGTATTTTATATTCAAGAAATTAAATTATTTTTCCATTTGAAGTCTTTTATTGATTTTGACATTCAATGTCATAAACATACATATCACATGAAACTGGTGTAGGGGTGGGGGGGGGATACAGAATAGAAGCGGGGGTGGGGGGGTGGGGGGTGGGTTCCATATCAGACATTTTACATTTAGGTGTACAACCACCTTTGCGAGTAAACATTGGTTACATCGTATCCTATAACAGCACTCAGTTATTATCTCGCTACAGCTCTCTATTTGTCTGTTCTGCTGTTTCTGTCCCATATATGTTTCCTTACCCACTAGTGTTGGGCCTATTAGCTTGGTTGTCGGGCTCTCCCGTATTTCCTTCGTCCCACAGTTTCCACGCTTTCATGGCCGTTACTGTCAGGGGGAGAACCCCTCTATATCGGGATTCGTATAGTTGCTGTTTGTCTACGTCCGTACAAACCTCTGTCACTCGTGGGGGACTACATTTTTTCCACCGTCTAGCTATCGCCCTCTGGGCTGTCAAGAGTATGTGGAATGTTAGCTTTTGTACCTCATTAGGTGTGTTGTCTGGCATGTGCAGTAATAGGTACGCTAGGGGTGTGCAGGGGAGCTCGACTTTTGTGGTGTTTCGGATCAGGCGGCTAACGTCTTGCCAGAAGCCGGTCACCCGATCGCATTGCCACCAGATATGGAGCACTGTTCCCTCACTCTTGCCACATCTCCAGCATGTCGGAGATGAGCTTGGGTATAGCTTCTGTAAGCGAGTTGGTACCATGTACCACCTGTATAGAGTTTTCCTATATTGTTCCAGGAGGGTTTCTGATTTGATTAGTTTCTTAGTTGCTACTATGGTGCGTTCCCATTGGTCTTTACTTATGTGGCATTGTAAGTCTCGTATCCAATGTTAGGCTGGGTTGGAGTCAGCAAAGTGTTGTGTGGGTCTGAGAATCTGATAGCACCAGGACAGTGGTTTAAACGTTGGTGTCTGTGAACCAGTGGTGGTCATCTGTTCCCATTTTGTCATAACAGGTAGACTGCCTTCTGAAGGTGGGGGTTTGTCTGTGTGTTTACGCAAAAACGAGCTTAGTTGCATATGGGAAAATTGAGAGGCCGCCGGCACATGATAATCTTTCTGTAAGTCTGGGAAGGTTTTTAGTGTGTTCTGTGAGAGCATTTGGTACAAGTGAGTGACCCCGTTTGATATCCAGGGCTTTTCGTTGAAGGTTGGGATACAATATGTTATAGTGTGGAGCGGGGTGGCCGGTGATAGGGTGTGAGATGTTAGTTTGTGTCGGATTTTGTCCCAGGTGTTCAGTGCTATTTTTATCTGTGCTGGCATCCGTGCCACTGCTGGTCTAAACCGGTTTGGAAGCCACAATAGGGTGGGTATATCAAAGGGCCTGACCGCTAGTTGTTCTAAGTGCACCCACTGCGGTATGGTTGTGGTCATGAAATGGGGAAGAAGTGTTGCTAGCATTGCTGCTTGGTAATATGACTTAATGTCCGGTAAGGCTAGGCCACCTTGTCTCGCTGGTGCTCGTAGTAGTGTTCCTTTTACTCTGGCTTTTTGACCCCCCCACACAAATCTATTTATATCTCTTTGTGTTTCTCGGAGATAGGATGCGGGTACCTGAATCGGTAGGTTGCGAAACAGGTATTGAAGCCTAGGAAGTATGGACATTTTGATGGTTGCTACTCTCTCCGTCCAGGTTAGAAACAGTGTGCCCCATTTTTTCATCAATTGACGGCATTCACCCCCCACCCTAACGTAGTTGGCCGAAAAGGTCTCTGTAGGGTTTTTCGTAAAGGTCAGTCCTAGATACTTTATTGTATCCATCCTCCACTCAAAATGATGTTTCTCTTTGAGGGCAGTCAGGGTTCGGTGGTTGAGCCGAACCCCCAACGCTTGCGTCTTACTGGCATTGAGAGAGTAGTAAGACCTCTTGCCATATTCCCTGATGAGATCTAAGATGAGTGCAGTCGACTGTTTGGGCTCAGTGACACAAAGGAGTATGTCATCTGCAAATGCGCTAATTTTAATTTCCCTGCTGTGAAGCTCTATTCCTTTGATGCCCTCATGATTTCTAATTTGGACTAGTAGTGGTTCTAGGGCCAGGACGTACAACAGCGGTGATAGAGGGCATCCCTGCCTCGTGCCGTTTGTCAGGGGGAACGGGTCTGAGAGGAAGCCTGCTTGTAGCACTCGGGCCGTGGGGCTTGCATACAGAGCAAATATTTGTTTGATAAATTCGGAGGGGATGCCGTATTTTTGAAGTGTGTGTTCAAGAAATGACCAATTCAATCTGTCAAACGCCTTCTCGGCGTCGAGGGCTAATAAAAGCCCACCCTGTCCCGATCCCCTCAGTTTTTCCAGCACCAAGGAGAGTTTTCTGGTATTGTCCCTACCCTGCCTACTCTTAATGAATCCTGTTTGGTCGTCTCCTATGATAGTTGGGAGGATGGGTGCCAGTCTGTTGGCCAAAATCTTAGCATATATCTTCGCGTCTGTATTAAGGAGGGATATAGGTCTAAAATTTTTGCAGCTATCCGTAGGCTTGTCTGGTTTTGGGAGCGTCACTATCGTGGCCACTAGCATTTCAGGGGGAAGGGATCCTATTTCCGTCGCTGTATGGTATACCTTGAGCAAGTGTGGGGTTAGTATATCTATGAATGTCTTGTAATAGCTGTTTGAGAAACCATCTGCGCCCGGGGATTTGCCCGAGGGCAGACTCTTAATTACTGTCCGGATCTCCTGTATGGAGATCGGTTCGAGTAGGGCGCTCACTGATTCTTGGTCTATTTTGGGGAGTTCCACACCCTGTAGGTAACTGCGAATAGATTGTGTGTCTGGTGCTGTTAGGCCCCCACTTGTGTTTAGGTTATATAGCTGTTTGTAAAAGTGTGCAAACTCCTGCACTATGTCCATGGGATTCATAAGTTTGTCTCCTGCATGTCCTATAAGATGTGGGATTCTATTGGCGGCCTGCCTAGTTCTCAGTCTGTTGGCCAAGTATTTGGTTGCCTTGCCGCTGTGGTGGTACGTGGTGGCTCTTAGTCTATGTATGAAATATTGGGTCTTGTGGGCATTGAGCTCATTTAGGTCCTGATACAGACCTCTTAATTTGTCTGCTAGGGCTGCCGTGGGTGTTTTCTTGTTTTGGGCTGTGTGTATCGCTATCTGTTTGTGGCATTCTAGTAGGGTGGTCTGATGATGTCTCTTTATGTAAGCTGATTGTCTGATGAACTGGCCCCTCATCACCGCTTTGTGTGCGGACCACACTGTGTAGTCCGTGACCTCGCCTGTTGCATTCGCAAGGAAGTATTCCCTAAGTTCTATCTTCATACGTTCTACAAACGATTTATCTAATAGGAGGGACTCGTTTAGCCTCCATGTGTTCCTGCCTCTGGTCTGATAGGTATCTTCCACGTCCAGATAGATTGGGCTGTGATCTGACCACGTTATCTCCCCTATCCTGCAGTCTGTCAATTGCGGCATGGTCTTGTTATCTATAAAGAAGGTGTCTATACGTGTGTACGTGTTGTGGACCCTTGAGTAGAAAGTATAGTCCCGGTCTGTAGGGTGTAGTGTTCGCCAGCTATCATATAAGTTGTACAGTGTCAAGGTGTTGGTGAGATTCTTGCAGAGGGCTTGGGTCCCCTTTTTGCGCTTCCCCTGTGGCGAAGCAGTAGTATCTAAGGTCGGGGACTGAATGAAGTTAGTCTCCTCCCAGGATGAGCCCTCCTTGTTTATATGTATCTAGTTTGGACAGAAGTGCTTTGAGAAAAGAGGCTTGATTGTCATTCGGGAAGTATGCTGCGCCAATGGTGTATTGTGTATTATTGAAGAGCCCTACCACTATGATGTATCTCCCTTTAGGATCTATGTAGCTGCTTTGTGGCGTGAAGGCGATGTCTTTATGCACTAGGATGGCCACCCCTTTTGTCTTCGTCTCCGATAAGGCATGATACTGTACGGGGTATAGTTTTGTGAAAAGGGTTGGGGCTGTGGGGTGTCTAAAGTGTGTTTCTTGGAGGCATGCGATATCTACCGAGTTTTTCTTAAGGTCTTGGAACAGCAGCCTGCGTTTTCCCGGTGAGTTTAATCCTTTAACATTATAGGACACTATTCTCATAATGATGTGGTTGTGGTTGGTGACCCAAGAGCTGGTACTTGTGTTAGAAGAACTACGTTCTAGGTTTTACACCCAATGTTTCGGTGAAAGCCTTTGTGTGGCAGTTCGGTGTAGATGTCTGTTGCAAAAATGATATGGAGGCAAGAAGGGGACGGGGTGAGGTCAGCCTTTAGCTGTTGTCTTTGTGTCGTTTCAGTATGTATGGGGGAGGGAGGGGTAAACAAAGGGCTTAACCCTATGAGGCTCCTCTGGATCGAGCCTGTTTGCGGCGCCCAAGGGTCGCACGCAGTCTGGGGGGGTGGTGGAGTTGGGACTTCCAGTGCGGAGTGTGTCCCTGTGACAAGCACACGTTGGGGCACCATGTGTGCTGATGTGGTTAGCCTGTTTTTTTTTTATATAGATATTCTCTCCCTTTCCGTCACTTCCCTGCCTGTGGGCCTCCAGTGTCCCGGCTCCCCAACCTTTGGTGTTTGGGCAGTGTCGTGGTCTAACCGAGAATAAATCTCGTTGTGGACCTGGCTAGTCGGCCTGGGAGGTGGTCAGGGGGGCCCCGGTACATACCCACGTATTTCCCAGGTGTAACAGTAAAATAAGAAAAAACGGATTAACAGAGTGTTAAATACAATAAGATAACTGACAATTGGTTATGAGTCTTACGTATACCATACGGTCATGCAGTCTCTTTAGCGGGATGCCCAATCCTGGGCCAGGTGGGGGATTTTCGTTGGGCCTGTTTTTTGTAACTCTGCCAGCGGGACTCCCCAGTCTCTGAGCATCTTGATGCCTTGCGTCGCTGATGTGATGGCGTGGAGGGAGTCTCCATGGTAGACCAGCAGCTTGGCCGGATATCCCCACCTGTAGTTTACTCCTTGGTTGCGCAGTGATAGCGTGATTTGTGCCAGAGATTTGCGGTACTGTAATGTCTCTGCCGAAAGGTCGGAAAAGATTTTGATGTTGGAGAATTTTTCCGGCATCCCTCTATTCCTGCTGGCTTTGATAATTCTTTCTCTGGCATGGAAGAAATGTACTCTTGCTATGACGTCTCTCGCTGCTGTATTGGGTAGGTGACTAGGTCTTCTGAGGCGATGTGCTCTGTCCAGCAGAAGTTGGTCCGGGTGTAGTTCTGGGGTCATCTGTTGGAACATGTCTTGCAAGTATTTATCTAGGTCCGCATTTGTAACTGATTCAGGTATCCCCCTAAATCGGAGGTTGTTCCTCCTAGACCTATCTTCCAGGTCTGCCAGCTTGATCT